TTAAACAATTTGTTTTTTCCCTTCCCCTTCCCAGATTATACCAACATCAAATACAGTGAAAACAGAGGGGAGGGACATACAAAGCAACAAAGAAATCATCTTATAAATATGTTAGAAACAATAGCAAGAAAAAAAATTTGAGTCCTTATCTTGGGGTTCATTTTGTCTAACATCAACTTATCTGACCATTTCTGCTTGTCTCAGACATATACTAGTTATTGCAAATAAGGGAAACTATGGGACCTATGTTTCTTTGGGCCTGGCTTACTTCACTTAATATAATTTTTTCCAAGTCTTTCCATTTCCTAACAAATGGAGCAATGTCATTCTTTCTGATGGAGGCACAGAATTCCACTGTATATATATACCACATTTTCTTGATCCATTCATCTACTGAAGGGCACCTGGGTTGGTTCCACATCTTAGCTATGGTAAATAATGCTGCAATAAACATAGTTGTGCTGGTAGCGTTAGTATGGTCTTGTTTGTGATTATTTGGGTAAATGCCCCAAAGTGGGATTGCTGGGTCATAGGGGAGCTCTATGTGGAGGCTTTTGAGGAACCTCCAAACTACTTTCCAAAGTGGCTGAACAAGTTTACACTCCCACCAACAATGCAGTAGGGTTCCCTTCTGTCTCCATCCCCTCCAGCATCTGTTGTTATTAGAGTTCTTGATTGTAGCCATTCTAACTGGGGTGAGGTGCCATAGTAATCAAAACAGTTTGGTACTGGCACAAGAACAGACCTCAGGACCAATGGAATAGAATTGAAAACCCACAAATGAACCCACAGACCTATAGGCATCTAATCTTCAGTAACGGAGCTAAAAAATAGAATGGAAGAAAGACAGCCTCTTCAGTAAATGGTGCTAGCAAAATTGGTTAATTACTTGTAGAAAACTAAAACTAGATCCTTATATATCACCCTGCACCAGAATCAACTCCAAATGGATCAAAGACCTCAGAGTCAAAGCAGACACCCTGAATAGGAGAAACCCTAGGTCTCCTTGGCACAGGCTGAAATTTTCTTAAAAGAGACTCAGAAACACAACAAATCAAAGAAAGGTTAGACAAATGGGATTGCATGAAGTTGCAGGGCTTCTGCAAAGGACATAGCTAGCAAGATCAATAGAAAGCCCACCGATTGGGAGAAGATCTTCACTAGTTATTCAATGGACAAGGGTCTCATATCTAAAATATATATATATAAAATTAAATCCCCCAACAACAAATCCTCAAAGAAACAACTGCCCAATAAATAAGTGGGCTAAAGACTTACAGAGAAACTTCTCTGAAGAGGAAAGAAGGATGGCCAATAGACACATGAAGAAATGCTCAACCTCCCTAGCCATAAAAGAAATGCAAATCAAAACAACGTTGTCTTATTAAATTCTTACAACCTCCCTTCCAGTATGATTCCCATCTGGAAAAAAATTGTTCCAAATGGAGAGACTTCCTTGAATACAAGTCATCTGTCCTATATTGTTTCTTGAGGAGTTAAGACATAGGTGGACAATGGAGCATGTCCAGACAGGCATAGCTGAGAAAAGTTGTTTGGGCAACTATATGCCTGTAGGAACATTAGTAGAGAATTCTTCTTCTGCAGTCAATAGTGGAAAGGGAAAGGGGCTGGGAAAGGGGAAGAGGAGAAATGCTCCCAAAGCATCAAAAGTTCAAAACAATTATATCAGGGAAAAACAGTAAAATTTGTGTAAAACTTAATAAGATAATGAGACACAAAGAAGCAGAAGCAGCCAGTACATATAGATTTGAAGAGAACAAAAAGCCTTGTCTAGAGTTCTCAAAACAAAAGTAACAAGGAAAGGGAAGGTAAAGCCAAAGTTAAAGAGGTTATCATAATTAGAAGCCAGTGTGTACTATGTACTATGACTGCCATTGAAAAACTATGTGGATATATACACATACACACAGATACAGACACAGACACACACACACACACACACACACACACACACACACACACACACACACACACACACACACACGGTGGGAAGGGTTCTGATTGGCTTAAGTCAATCCTGACTCCCAATGTACAAAATGGGCAAGTTTTAACGTATCTTACTTGAGAATTAAAACAATCATAACAGGTGGATGGGAACTTAGTGGCTGGGCCATATAATTTTAGGTAGAGTTCAGATAACAGTATGTCTTTCTTACCTTTTTTTTAAGTACTAGGACTGGGACTTGAGCTCATGGCCTAGGTACTGTTCCTTAGCTTTTTTACTCTACCACTTGAGCCACAGCTCCATTTCTGGCTTGTTGGTGCTTAATTGGAGATAAGGGTTTCATGGAATTTGCTGCCATGAATGATTTGAATAATATCCTCAGATCACAGCCTCCTGAATAGCTAGGATTACAGGTGTGAACCATCAGTGCTGGGTATGCACTATATTTCAGTGATTCTTTGCCATCTCAGGCAGTAATTATCTACTTCAGATTTGGGTACACTTAGTGATGGAGACTTCACTAACTTATAAGGTTGTCTATTTCTTTGTTCAAAGTGGGGTAAGATGAAGTTTAATGAGCACCTACTAGCTGTCAGGGAGTCTAATAGGCATTTTATATACACTGATTTCATTTATTCTTCATAATAACTGTCAAATAATTATTTCCCTCACTTTACAAATAAAATAATTGAGGCACAGAAAATGAAAGGTCACTTGCTTAACATAATATAGTGAGTGCTGGAACTAGGATTAGAGCACAGGATTGTCTGATCAGAAAATGTATGCTTTATCAGTCAATATTTCATGAGCATTTTTTGTTTGTGGCCTAGCCTCAAACCATGATGTTCCTAATCTTAGCCCCTAATTAGCTAGGATGGCAGGCATGAAACACTATGCTTAGCTGTCTTGAGAATTTTTTTTGGGGGGGTCTGGTTGTGGGGACTGAACTCTGGGCCTGCGAGCTGTCCCTCAGCTCTTCAGCTCAAGGCTAGCACTCTACCACTTGAGCCACAGTGCCACTTCCGGCTTTTTTCTTTTTGCTAATATGGTACTGAGGAATCGAACCCAGGCCTCAGGCATGCAAGGCAAGCCTCTACCACTGAGCCACCTTCCCAGCCCTTGTCTTGAGAATTTTTTAAATGAAGTTTGATTCATTCTAGGATGAATGATGCTATTTTTATCACTTCATAATTCGATCTTGGTCTTCTGCTGATTTTTGTTTCCTAACTTAATCCCACTGTGCATCTTGTTTTTTTCTCTTTATTCTAGACTTTGCCTTACTATTTTGTATTCTTGCTTCTTTTCCTATTATCTCTTATATCTACAGCTTTCCAGAGCTGTTTTACTTAAAGTAACTATGGCTTTTGCTGACAGAAGTCATCAGTCAAACTCAACCGTCTTGAGTAGGATACATAACATAAATAAACTGTGTTCCTAATTGTTCTTTGACTACTTTTTCTAAACATGAACATAACAGAATGGCAAGAATGGGCATATGCCTGTTGGTGATCTGGTTGATATATTGAGAACTTCTTCAATTGCCAAATTTACCTTCAAAATTTCTGTTTCCTGATTGTATATAAGTTTTTTGGGGGAGGGGTATGAAAAAGAGGTCTAGTGTTTGAGTCTCAGACTCACACACGTTCTCTCTCAGAGTTAACTCCAGACTGGGATGGTTATTGTCCTCATTAACTAGCTGGCTATTTATTCCAGAGCTTTTACCTCTAAACACTGGAGCAGTCAGAATCTAAGCTCAATTTCTATCCTCAATCTATCATCAAAGGAAAACACGTCAGGTTTAATGCAAAATAGCCTATATACAAATACCCACAGAAAAGGGAATTAAAACAGATATATGGTTCATGTTCCAGCTCAGAAAATATAACAATGTTTAACTTGGTGTATTATGCCTTGTTACCCTTCTTCAGAGGGTGAGACAGATGACAAAGGGATCAAACAACAGAAAAGAAGTGAATGAAAAGTAAAAGTGTGAATTTGAATTCATTCTAAGTACTTATGGGTTTCTCCCCCCCTTTACTATTTCTGATTCAGAATTCTTGCTGTCTAGTTTCTGAATAAGGTGTGTTTTGAACTTCCTATCCCAAGGAAGGAGGTAGGGCACACAGTATGCCATCAGGAAGTCTCAGGAGAGATTGTGCCTATGTTACCCCCTCCTTACCATGGAAAAGTACCCCAAACCAGTATTCAAAAAATTACACAGGGATCAGTGACAAGTACAAGTTATTTCCCCACATGCATTAAAAGGAAGGCACAGTGAATAGAGCATGGTTGATAGTTGCAGGAAATTGTTGCACATTGTATAGGAAATAAAGACATGAGGAGAAAATCTTGTACCATAAAGGTACCTACCAGTCTGGGCAAAATAGGCCCATTGTTGGTTCCCAAGGCAACGAGGGGCCAGATGGCCAGTCATGAGAGTGAAAATGAAAGAAAGTGCTCAGAGAAGCTACTATTTACTAACTGGGACATAAATATTATAATAGTGTTAACAACTGGTACAAAATAACTGGCTATCAGGTTTGCTTGTAAGGTAGTGAGAAAGAGCATCTCAAGAGTCATGAATACAAAGGCAAAAAATGATAGTAAAACAAGATGTGCCAACTTCACAGTTTAATTGCTCATTGCCTGTGATAAACATGCTGTACCAGTGTTCCTGGTATAGAACTGCTACCAAATTCCTGTCTGTTTTCACCCTAGCAGCTTTTGTCAAATTCTTTAGGAGCCTCAGGATGGTGAAGGAAGGGCCTGGTGCCCTCTGAAGTATCAAGCTCCATTGGGGAAGAAGAGGGAAGGATTACCTTTTTTTTTTTTTTTTTTGGTTAGTTGTGGGGCTTGAACTCTGGGCCTGGATGCTGTCTCTCAGCTCTTTAGCTCAATACTAGCACTCTACCACTTGAACCACAGTGCCACTTTGGCTTTTTCTGTTTATGTGGTGCTAAGTAATTGAACCCAGGGCCTCATGTATGCAAGGCAAGTATTCTACCACTGAGCCACCTTCCCAGCCCAGGATTACCTTCTTGCAGAGGACCATCTGGTGGTCAAACAGGAAGAAAACTCGTTGTTGGTTGCGGCCATAGGGCTGGTAGATCCAAGCCATCTCTCCAGTGTAGATCAGTTCCGAGCTCCTGTCTAGGATGTCGTCACCCTGGGAAGGACACATTATGGTAAGAGGCAGCCAAGCAGGAGGGATGGTTCCATTGCTTACATAGAGGGACCCAAGGCTGAGCACAGACTGGGGTGGAGGACGATGGAATAACTCCTAGGAATTCTCTAAAGGCTTTACAGTTTAAAAAGCTGGAATGACCTATATTATTATTCATTCTGAAGCCAAATAAATTCTACCACTCAGAAGTGTTACAGCTCTCTATTCCCTTTCCTCCTCCTTCCTTCTTTTCCCATCCCCCGTCTCTTCCTACTATTCTTTCTCCTCCTCCTCTTCCTCCACCCTGCATCTCTTTCTCTGCTCCAAATTCTCAACCTCTTGTCTCTCAGTTTCTTTCCAATACTTGAGGACTAAGCCTGAGCATATAAGTCCTGCTTCCAGGATGAGAAGAGAACCAGGGAGAATGAGGGAAAAAAGATGATGAAAAAGGAGAGAAAAAAATCTATTCACTCTTTATAATTGTTTTCTCTCCACCCCCCCTTGATTAAAAATTATTGATTAAGCCAGGTGCTGGTGACTCATACCTATAATCCTAGTTACTTAGGAGGCTGAGATTTGATCTTGGTTTAAAGCCAGCCAGTTAAACTCCAAGAGACTCTTATCTCCAATTAACCAGCAAAAATCCAGAAGTGGAAGTATGGCTCAAGTGGTAGAGCACTAGCCTTGAGCAAATACTACAAGTAAGAGCAAAAGGCCCAATTCCAGCTAAAAGTTATTATTCATTAAACAAAAAATTTCGTGCCACATGCTTCCTTTATCTCATATCCAGAGAGCTTTTAACTATATCTCAGTGGATATGATAAAGGCAGGTGTGCTCAGAGCCCATGGGAACACAGGGCAAAACAAAATAAAGCCAGGGCAGGAGTGAGTGTTTAAGGACCCATCAATAGTTCAGAATGAAAAAAAATGTCTTTCCTGAGTACTTATATGAGTCAGATATGCTGGATGTTCTTACTCTGCCTTACATGGGCTCCACAATAGCCCTGGGAAGTAGATATTCTTGTTCCACATTACAGTTCCAAATACAGAGAGCTCAACTGATAAGCCATAGTCACCATCTAAGTAGCCACATATCTACAACTCAAACCCAATCTCTGTGGCTCCACAGGTATACTCATTCCTTATCTTACAATCTTATATTGTTTCTAAACCAGAAAGTGAATGGATGACTAGTCCCTTCTCCCAGCTTTTAAATCAAGTATACGCATGTCTTCACAGTCCTGGCTCTGATACTCTTATACTATGTCAGCCTTATACTTAAAGCTTCAGGGCAAGATTCTTAGAAATACAGGCCCCTGCATATCTCCATAAAATAGCCCAGGCAAGGAAATATGTTGAAAAGTGTAACATCTGGAAATGGCATTCTTAACTGTATCATTTTCTCTAGCCTAAGAGATCAGAAAGAAAAAGAGAGTTCCATGGAATGATTTGTTAATAACAGGACTCAAAAGAAGCTCAGAAATACTGCTTTGACTTCAGGCTCAGCTTCAGGAATATCCAAGAGCAAGGTAAACAATTCTCAAGGAGTTGACAAACTGGGACAGAACTTTTGGAGGCTTGAAGCTGAGAGAAAACCTTTTTCATGGTTAGGATAGAGAAGGGCTTTCCTGTTGGAAATATGGAAATTGAAGAATAGTACCAGTTTACCAAACCCAGGGCTCTGGAGAGGCTAAGATGTGCCACAGTGTATTTTGAATGTGTATGAAATGATAGAAATCCATAAATGGTGGTGAATGATATAAATAGATGGCAAGGATGACTTTCTTTTTTGTGCCAGTCCTGCGGCTATATCTCAAGGTGCTGTCTCTTAGCTTTTTTGCTCAAGGCTAGTGTTTCACTACCTGAGCCACAGTTCTACTTCTGGATTTTTGATGGTTAGAGATAAGAGTCTCACGGACTTTCTAAACCAGGCTGGCTTTGAACCACAATCCACAGATATCAGCATCCTTAGTAGCTAGAATTATAGGCCTGAGCCACAGGCACCCAGTTAAAGATGACTTTCTGGAAGCAAGGTCTCACTATGTAATCCAAGCTGGACTGAAACTTTGTTTTTTTTTTTGTCTCTAGGCTTTCTTGTTGGACTGAAACTTTCTATGCAGCCCAGCTTGGCTTTGAACTGTCCATCCTTCCGTCTTAGGCTTCTGAGTGCTGGGATTATAGGCATATGACACTGTGTTCAGTTTCAAAGACCATTTTTAAAACTGAAGATGGTTAGAACAAGAAGACAACACAGTAGTATTATGCAGTCTAATCACTGCACCATACAGGGGTATCTCGACTAGAATTTAAGTCGTTGCCACATGTAGCTCTAAGAAAAAAATCTGGAACAAAATATACTTATCTATTCACCAAGCTGGGCCTCAGTTTCCTTATTAATATAGGGATATAACATTATCAACCTTGAATGTTGTTATAAATACTTAAATTAGCATATATAAAGTGATTAGGAAAGTACAATCATAGTGCAAGGTGTATAAATGTGATATTATCTTGACTCCTAGGTAGTATACATATCTTGTTTTCAACTAAAGCAACAATCTGATAAGTACTGTTTTTATCCCTCAAACCAACATTAGAGAAATAAATTGGAAGTAGTTTGCCTAAAGGAGCAGAATCCATATTAGATTACCACCAAAGCACATGTTTTTTTGTTTTGTTTTGTTTTTGTTGGTCATGGGGCTTGAACTCAGGGCCTGGGCACTGTCCCTGAGCTTTTTCCACTTACGGCAAGTGCTCTACCACTTTGAGCCATAGAACCACTTCCAGTTTTCTGGTGGTTAATTGGAGCTAAGAGTTTCATGGACTTTCCTACCCACGGCTTCAAACCATGATCCTCAGCTCTTAGCCTTCTTAGTTAGGATTGCAGGTGTGAGCCACCAGCAGCTGGCTCAAAAGCCCATGTTTTGAATCACCAAACAGTATTTGAATGATGGCTCCACTTCCTGTGGGACTAACATCTGCGTGGAAGATTTCTGAGATGAGAGCCTCAAAAGAGCTGGGTTCTGGGTCTAGTGTTTCTTATCAACTCATTCTGGGTCCTTAGAAAGTAGCATCAATGTTCTCAAGATTGAGAACATTAGAGTGGGTATAATGTAACAGCTTCTGTTTGGTCCAATCCATATAGATGGTTGGCATAGGAGGGAAAGGACCCTGTCCATTGTTCAGAACTCCAAACTTTCCTTGCTTCTTCTGTCCTACTTGCACCATATTGCACTTTGTTTTCTCTTCCAAATTGCAATCCCTTCCCATGGTCTCCTGTAGCTCACTACCTTCTGTTCCATTCCTGAAGGTTTTTTTTTTCTTTTTGTTACTAGTATTGGGGCTTGAGCTCAGGGCCTTTTTTCCCACTCAGAGCTGGTGCTCTACCACTTGAGCCTCTTCTTTACTTCTGGATTTTAGCTGGTTAATTGGAGATAAAAGTCTCATGAACCGTTTTCCCTAAGCTGGTTTTGAATCTTCAGATCTCAGACTGTAGCATAGCTAGGTCCTCCAGTATAGCACCTCCCTCCAAGATTTTGTTTACATTGTTCCCTTTGGTAGGAAGGTATCTACCTCCACTAGATGATTTCAATATCCTCATTGTTTGTCCAAGGGCTCAGCAAGGAGGAGTACTCAAAATGTAAGTCTCCTTAGGTTATTATTTGCTTGAATGCCTCTAGTGGCTCCATATAAACTGAAAGCTGAAGTCCTATTAGGAGGTAATCTAACCACCTGGTACTTCTGTGCCCTCATTTGTCCTTACTTACCCTGTCTCACTCAACTCTGGCTACACTGGCCTTCTTGTTCCTTGAGCATACTTTCCTGTATTTTAGTGCCTTTGTATTCACTCTTCCCTCTGCTTGCAATACTCTACCTCCTCAGGTAGTAACCTCATCACTCTAGTCTGTTATCACTACCTAATAATAAATTAAGAAGTTAGCTTGCTACCAATCTTCCCTGCTGGAATCTAAAATTTAGTGAGGTTGAAATTTTCTCAGGTTCACTGACATATTTTCAGAATCTAGAATTGCCTGACCCAGAGTGGATAGCTATCAATAGCTATGTAATCAATGAATCAACAGATGGTAAATAGTGGCCACAAAAAGCTACTCAGAGCTTTCTGATTCAGCTTACTTCTGAAGCCAAAGTCTCAAAGAAGAGGTTGTATCTATTCTAATTAATTTTAATCCATCCTATTCTGTACAAATATAGTTCATTCTAATTACAGACTGACTGATGTGGGGGCTGTGGTCTCAACAAATACAGAAAAAGAAGAAAGGAAATGCCATCCTTTTCAATCAATTCAATCTTCAACCCTACCCACTGAACATAAGGGCAGTAAAATAACAAATCTATGCAGCCCTACGTTTGACCTGATTCCAGGATATACCTCATCAAGTCACCTTCACTTATTTTGTAGATGGTGAGTCTTGAACTCTGGGCCTGGGTCCTGCCCAGGGTGGCTCTGAACCGTGATCCTCAGATCTCAGCCTCCTGAGTAGCTAAGATTACAGGCGTGAGCCACCGGTACCCAACCACCTTAACTTTTAAGTAGATGCTTTCATTCCTCTACCACATTGGGTTTTTGTGTTTTCTCACTTCTTTGGATTAGTAATCTAACAGGAAACCAGAAAAGGCCCTTGGGTATTATATAACCAAGCTGGGAGGAGAGATATACTCAAAGAGGAAATAAATTATAATCACACACAATCAAGCTCCCAAATGTGCACTACAAACTTGAAGAGTCCTGCTAAAAAATCTTCAGGAAGGAAAAGATTAAAAAAAAATCTATCAGGAATATGTTCCATTTCCCTTCCTTTCAAATGGATTTAGTGAATATGAAGGGTGATTGGGACAGCTCAACTAAACCTCAGTATCAGAGGGATTAGAAATGGAAATTTTCCAAAAATGGTAATCCTGGGAACAGGTTCTTCTCCCTGCTACTGCTCTAAACTGATGTTATTTATTTAATTTATATGTTGGTGCTGGGGCTTGAACTCAAGGCCAGAGTGCTATTAGCATTTTTTTGCTCAAGGATAGTACTCTTCCACTTGAGCCACAGCTCCACTTTCAGTGCTTAACTGGGTCTCACAGACTTTCCTGCCCAGGCTGGCTACAAACCTCTCAGCCTCCTGAGTAGCTAGGATTACAGCCACAAGCCACCATTACCCAGCTCTATTGTTCTTATGGGTGACAATTTAATTTCTCTCTATTTTTCAGAAGTCATGGGGGTAGGAAAGTAGGGCTTTGGAAAAATATAAGCTCTGGTCTCCATATGAGAGTAGGCACAGATAGTATATGGAGTTAGGCAAGGACCCATTGAGAAAGATGACAAAAGAGTCAGGTACTGATATACTGATATAAATCAGCTGCTCTGATTTATGGAGCAAGCCCAAATTCCTACATGCCACTATTGCATCCTTTTCCTCTTCAAGGGAGATTAAGTTCTGAAGGTTTCTTTCTCACTCCTGTTTTTCATTTGATAAATGAAACTGAGATGAACATGAAGATGCTAACATTTCAGCGGTTTGTTCAAACATCTGGGAGGCAAAGGGACAGAGATAGAAAAATACTACTTCTATTTGATTTGTAACACTTGTCCATAGCATCCCTCAGCAATTTAGCACTCTTTCTCACTCTCACTCCCTCTTCATCTTTCTTCCCTCTCCTTATTTCTCTCTCTAGGTTCAACTTCTTGAGCAAATAGAATACAGAGAGTCTGTATCAGGGAATCAATGGTGTTAGACACTACATGTTTTTTTCTTTCTGGGATACTCCCCATCATTCCTGGATCTTAATCTCTCCAAAGTAGTCTCACTCTTTACTGCAAGAAGTTACTGCAGTGGCACAAAGGACATAAACTGGGCTGCTTCAAGAAGGTTGGAGGAGTATGGGTACAACAGTACAAAGAGCAACAACAACATATGGGAATTAGAGGACTAGATTCAAGTCCAAATTTTATCACTGGCTTGCTATGTGACTTACATAGGTCCCTCTCTGCTCTGTTTCCTGATGTCATTATAAGATATGCATAGGTCGTGGGTGAGAGAGAGAGAGTGTGTGTGTGTGTGTGTGTGTGTGTGTGTGTGTGTGTGTGTGCGCGCGTGTGTATCATGGTTAGGGGTATATAGGGAGTCCTCTAAAAGCATTTGAGATTTTGACATTAAAAAAGTCTTCATGACTAGACATGGCAAACAGAGTAATAAATGCTTAAAAATCCTGACATCTTGAAATGTACCCAGCAAACCTTAGTGGAAGAACAATTTCCTAGAGGAGAACCCCTTTGGAACTAGCAAGTTCCATAGCAATCACAAGACCTGAAAAGGGAACCATGCCCGCCCCCTCCCATTCACATATTTAAATCTAAAGCTTTGTGTGATAGTGTTTGGATGTGAGGAACCATGGGAAACAGATTGATTGCAATTGTTTATAAGCCACCAAGTCTAAGGTACCATTGTAGCTGTCTGGATGAAATAAAACACCAATGAAGATGAGGGAGTCTTCATCAATCAGCAAGGTGCAAAGTGCTTGCAAGCTTGGATAAGATTATATTGGGCAAGCTATGTTTTCCTACACCACCTCCTTCCCCAAATAACATAGATAAAATGCTTTCTGAGATGCTAGATTATAGCTCAGTGTTTGGTATGAATGAAATCCTCTGGGTATATGCAAGGAATTCAACCAATTCTTGGTCTCCTTTGGCCCTTCTGTAAGGGACTGGATGCTCAGAGCATATGGAAGAATTAGGACATCTTTCCCAATTAGGCACTGGGAAGGGGTGTGATGTTCCAGGGAATAGGAAAACAACTGCTGCTAGGTACTTTCTCTTACAGAGAACCCTAACAAGAGGGGGAAAAAGGCCTGCTAAATACCTACAATTTTAGAGTGTCTCAGTTGATGGGCATTGCTAGAAATAATTTGGTCTAACCCCTGCCTTGTGTCAGACAAGTGGACAGGGTAAAGAAGACACAAGAGGAGAATCCATGATTTTCTAATAAGTCTAGGCTGGTGTGGCTTTTCCTTATGATCAAGAGCATTTATTGGTATAGATTAAGTCCTTTCTCTGCATGTCAAAGAATCATTCTTTTATGGGGACATTACCTTGTAATGGGACCAAAAATGTGTCAGCTGATCATAATTTTGATATTTTCAACTATCTATAGTAAGGAGGAACAGAACAGATTAAAACGTATTTTTGGTAGGGGCCTTGGTTAAGCATTTGTAAGGCTGATGACAGCCCTCTTAGAATGGGCTAAACTTTTGTAAATGTTTTATTTTTATTTTTTTGCTTTATGTCACTTGTGGGGCTTGAACTCAGGGCCTGGCATTGTCCCTGAGCTCTTTTGCTCAAGGCTAGTGCACTACCACTTTGAACCATAGCACACTTACAGTTTTTAAGAGGCTAATTGGAAATAAGGCTCAAGAGGACTTTTCTGCTTAGGCTTGTTTTGAACCATGATCCTCAAATCTCAGCCTCCTGAGTAGCTTGGATTATAGGTATGAGCCAGTAGCACCTGGCTAAATTTTAAATGTTGAGAAACTCCATCTCTTTCTTTCATTTTCTTTTTTATTTTGGTGGTACTGGAATTGAACTCAAGGCCTTGTGCTTACTCAGTTTGCTTGCTCATCTAGCACTCTTTATGCTGGCTATTTTGGAGATAGTCTTATGGACTTTTTTTTTTTGGCCCAGGCTCGCCTTGAACCACCATCCTCTTGTTCTCAGCCTCCTGAGCAGCTAGGATTACAGGTGTGAGCCACTAGCACTTAGAGATAATATTTTTTTGGGGGGGGTCCAGTCATGGGCCCTGAACTCTGGGCCTGGGCGCTGTCCCTCAGCTCTTCAGCTCAAGGCTAGCGCTCTACCACTTGAGCCACAGCGCCACTTCCAGCTTTTTTCTTTTTGCTTATGTGGTGCTGAGGAATCGAACCCAGGGCCTCAGGCATGCAAGGCAAGTGCTCTACCATTGAGCCACCTTCCCAGCCCAGAGATAATATTTCTTTTGTTTATCTGTCGTGGGACTTGAACTCAGGGCCTGGGTGCTGTCCCTTGAGCTCTTTATTGTTCAAGGCTAATTAATGCTCTACCCCCTGAGCTACAGCACCATTCGTGGTTTTCTGGTGGTTAATTGGAGATGAGTCTCACAGACTTTCCTGGCTTGCCTGGCTTCAAACCATGATCCTCAGATTTCAGCCTCCTGAGTAGCTAGGATTACAGTCATGAGCCACCAGTGTCTGGCTAGGAGATTCCTCTTAATTACAAAAAATAAATGTCTGAGCTGAAGCTGCCACAGGCCAGGGGAGTTGGCTCTATCTCTACACTGTGACCACAAAACTTAAGATTGACATTCCTTCTTGATGGCATGTCTAGCTTTTCCCATTTTTGATTTTGTTAGCCTGTAAACTAGCAAAATGTACAACTTGGGCCTAGGAAGTGAAATGTAAAATATAACACTTAATTCTCTTAGTAGGTATCTAGGAAAGAAGCCTTAAATGACTTCAGCCTCTTGCTTTCCGAGTACAGAGAAGTTGTGGGTATCTGCAACGGAATTGAAAGTTGTCAAGAGATTATTTTTAGAAGATGATAATGAAAATAGAATTTGGTCTGTGGATTTGGCAGGAATAATGGTTATAGCCTAGAATGTGCAGACTTGGATAGACCTAATAGATCCGTCAGAGTGACATGCTCTCACAAGCAAGAAAAGGAATTATGTTGGCTATCATGCATGCTTAGAAACAAGAGAACCAGCTGCATATTCTGTATTTGGAAGTGCATTAGTACATACTACTTCTTATTCATGTGTGCCAGTCAAGAGCTTAAAGCTAGGACTGAAAAGAGATTCAAAAGGCTACTGAGTCAATTCATTTTTCCTAACAACACCCAAAGGTCATTCACCTTTTCTTCCTTAATGAACTATTGTCCCAATCTTCCCCAAGTCTTTTGAGAAAGCTATAAGGTACAATATCAAGTACAGCTATAAAGTACTTCTCCAATAACAAGCTTTACCTGGGGTCTAATCTAAATAATTATTGTTGTTCTACAAATCTCATTCCTCTTTGTCTATCCTTAACTAAGATGAGAGTCTTTCAAAAAGCTTCTTGTGTTCCCCAACACCCTGTTGGTAAAGATTCTACCTCCCAGTCTAGGACAGAAGCCTGCCACTGGGCAATCTTGTCAATATTCTCCAGACGTCGCTTGCGTTCGTTGATCTGCTGAGTCACATTTCTCATTACAGCCAAAGCAGCTGCCACATATCTGTAATCACTGTGAAGACACAAGAGTGAAAGTTGGATGAACCAATGTGCCAGAGAACCAATCTTTATATTCACTTTCCTCTTCTTCCTTAGTGACAGAGTCCTGACTTTCAAATGAGAACCCAAGTAGTCTTCTATCAAGTAGAAGACTAATTGTTTTATCAGAGATGGCTATGTGTTGTGCTAGATCTTCAAAAAATTTTCTTTAAGGTAGAAATTACACCTTTCTTTAGTCTATAATAAACTCTGACTGGCATATGGTTGGAAAGTTAAGCTCTTATAGCTATCATGGACTATAAAGACAAGGTCCATATTAATGGCAGGACAGCTGAAAGTTGGAAAAAGCTAGAATATGATAATGATGGAGACACCATATCAGCCAAAGACCTACTTGTAGACTTTTTACATGGATAATAACTCTCTCTCTTTTTTTGTGCCAGTATTGGGGCTTGAACTCAGGGCCTTATGTTCTCAGTTGGCTTTTCTGCTCAAAGTTGGTGCTCTATCACTTGAGCTATGCCTCCATTTCTGTTTTTCCCCCTTTGGTTAATTGGAGATAGGAGTTTCATGGACTTTTCTACCCAGTCTGACTTCAAACCATGATTCTCAGAGCTCAGTTTCCTATATAATCTAGGATTATAGGTGTGAGCCATGAGTGCCTGGCATAAACTCACTGCTTTTGATTCCAATATTTTTGTAATACAGTCAGCCAAGGACCAAGAAGGAAGCCTCACACATGACATAGTCCAGAAAATGTGACCATCTCTTTCTCCATTTATTTCTACAAGCTCCTGTTTAAAGATAATGCAGAATGCTATCTGCATTTTTTTCTCCTGCACAATATAGAAATAGAATGTTATGATTAAGCCACAGAGCCCAAATTCTATGAGTTCTGCAAAAATGGGGAGAAGTATGGTAGAATTTATTGAGGGGTTCAGTAAGTTAAATAAACATTCATGTAAATTGGATTACTCTTGGTGCTGTCAATACTATAATAAATCATACATTTCTTGTAGACATCATAGGGATTGTCTCCCTCTGAAGCACTGGTCCCAGCAGTACAACATCCTTTTTCTATTTTATAACATTTTTATATAACTCACGAAACATTGCTTATATAAAAATCCATACAAAGTTGCTAAAAAGCAAAGAATTTCCAATAATGTCTTGGGCTTTTGTCACATTCAGTTTTCTAAAGATGCACTCAAATCAATGGGATAATATTAACCTTACGTGATTGGTAAAATTATTCTTAGTATTTTGTCTCTTCACAGTATTAACTCTGATATCTACTTTGTGCAGGATCTGCTCTTACTAGGAGGCCAGGAAAACATTAAGGCTTCTACAAGAAGCAAGGGCTTCTAAACATCAATCTCACTTCACAATCTCCTCATCCAGGCAAGGAAAATGCTTGATGCTATCCAACCAGAAGACGCTGTCTCAACAGGACAGGAAGCAAAACTTTGAGGGGGTGGGAGTGGGAACTGAGGTCATCAATCTCTAGAGGACCCAAGTTGCCATGCTATAGCGTGATCAAGCCAGTGGCCAATTAAGTCACCACTCTAGAAGTACAACTTTTAGCCCAGTTCCCTGGGACTTTGGATAACCCATATGTTGCAAGTCATATCACTCTGCCTAGTTTTCTTTGCTTGTCTGATCTGATTTCCAATTGAATGGCTCCTGTGAAACACAGATTGAAAGTGAGATCTCAGCCATTTCATAGAGATACAATAAACTGAGAAGGCAAGAAGACAGTGATACAGTTCTTTGTTAACATTAGCTCAATTTAAATGACTAGTGCTTGCTTGCCCAGCACCAATTTCTGAAAAGAAGAGAGAAAAAGGAAATATGCAATTACTGCCTTTTCTTACTGAATGTGTCAAAAAATGGGCTGGAGGACCAAACACCAGCAGAGGGAAGGAAATTCTAACTACCAGGGTGGATGCTATGTAAAATTTCCTCTTAGCTGGCATCTATGACTCCAGTCTATGACTTGAACCACCTGCAATGACCAAGGGCATTTTATTACTAACAGCGACAGCCTCTACCTCTTAACAAGCTTATTTTGTCTCAAGAAAATGGCTAGAAAAGCCTGTTGTTACTGTGAGCCTTAATAAATGTTTTTCTGGATCTCATCGATGACTCATTTTAAACTTATAACCAACTATTACTTCCTAAATCTCTTCAAAACATGCTGTCTGGAAGCTGCATCTTTCAGTTTGTCCCCAAATTGCCAATTTCTTAGATTTAAATGTGTAACTTTATATCAATACCTGTTATATTGCATCCTTTTATCATTACTTGCCCTAATCTACTAGTGATCTTTTAGGGTCCCTAACATTGCCAAAGTTTCCACTTGGCAAGACTATCTGAACCTGCCATTTAGACACAGGGTACAGCAATGACAGAAGGGGTAGCTGCAGTGTAGAACTTGCTGACATACATTAAGTACACCTTCTGTTCTTTGGGCCCAGTTCCCTGTCCTCTATTCCTTTCCATTCTCTGATTTGAGGACATTAATGCTTTTAGGCACTTTCTGGAAAGTAAAGCTATACTATGCAATATGGCAAAACAGTATTCATGGTAATTACAATTAGATAAGATTAAAAATTTATTCACTTACTTGTACTAATTTCTCAGTATTTAATAGGCACATGTGGTCAATAAACACTGTATTGGACAGCTTAGATATAAAACATTTACATCACTGTAGAAAGTTCTGTTGGGGGCTGGGAAGGTGGCTCAGTGGTAGAGCGCTTGCCTTGCATGCTCGAGGCCCTGGGTTTGATTTCTTATCACCACATAAGCAAAAACAAAAAAAGTCGGAAGTGGCACTGTGGCTCAAGTAGTAGAGCGTTAGCCTTGAGCTGAAGAGCTGAGGGACAGCGCCCAGGCCCAGAGTTCAGGCCCCACGACCGGACCCCCCCAAAAAAGAAAGTTCTGTTGGAAGGCAACTATGCCCACCACTATACCACCAATGTTTCACACACAGCCTATACAGTAAGAATATATAACTATACATACGAAGGATGCTCACTAGCTTCAAGATGGTAGCTACCTCTGTGGAGAATAAAAAGGAGAAGTGAAAGAGAAAAGAACCTTTTGTCTCTGAATATTTTGTTGAAAGAAATTAAAAATATAAACATGAAAATCCTATGATCTCCTTAAAAAAAGAAAGTTTGAGTTGACAGGGCAGTTATGAAAATATCCCATTATTGAACCCAAGTATTAGCTGACTCTGAAACAATGCTTTGTCTGATCCCAAGTACTAGCCAAGTATGGATTTATCATTGCCACTGTTCCATACTGTCTATTTTTCTTTTGCCAATTTTTGCTTGCTGCCTTTCTTACACCAGTTAAGTAACTACATTCCCACATACAACCTGTTCTACTGGCTTTAAAAGTAGATAAAACCTGAACCCAAGTCAGAGACTCTAGATTTTCTGGTGAGGTCTAGACCCTGCTCTCTAGTGAGGAGAATAATGGAAACAAGATTTTTAGTTTCAAACATGCCAGCTACCCTTATTTTGTATATAATCTCCCTTCTTGTTAGCCCAAGAAAGGTGAGGAGGGGGAATTATGTCATCCTTCCATAAGCAAAGGAAATATTATTTTCCATTTATTATTCTCCATCCAATCTCCCTTGAAGACCACTCTGTTTACATCATTTCAAAACCACCTAACTGAACAACTTTCTGACTAAAGGCTTCAAGTTAGAAATAGTTAAACAAACCAAGCATGTCAAGCTAGAAACGTAATTATAATTTTTATTTCTATTTTTGCTGAACTCAGGGCCTGGGCACTGTCCCTGAGCCTCTTTGTACTCAAGGCTAGCATTCCACCACTTGAGCCAGAATGCCACTTCCAGCCTTTTCTGAGTAGTGTATTGGAGATAAGAGTTTGACAGACTTTCTTGCCCAGGCTGGCTTTGAACTGTGATCCTTAGATCTCAGCCTCCTGAGAAGCTAAAACTACAGGTATGAGTCACTAGCACCCAGCCAGAAATGTGGGAGTGGTACTGGGGTTTAAACTCAAGGCTTCACATGTACAAAGCAGACACTCTACTGCTTAAGCCATGCCAGCATCCCTTTTTGTTCTGATTATTTTTGAGATAGATTGGGTCTTGCTTTTTTGCCTAGGCCGGTATGGACTGCGATCTTACTATTTGTACCTCCTGCCATAGCTGAGATGAGAGGTATGTGCCACTATGCCCATTTTTTTTTGTTGAGATTAGTCTTGTGAACTTTTTTTTGCCCAAGCTAGCTCAAATTCTGGTCAAATTGACCTCTGTCTTCAAAGTAGGTGAGATCACAGGTATGAATCACTGGCATCTGGCTTAACCCCCAGATAGTCTTGACATGCATGGCAGAAGCTATCATCTTGATACAGCTTCCTTACAAAACTCTTACAAAGTGAGTTTTTCCATGACCCAGTATTAGTGCTGAAGCCTTCACTCCAGTTGATAGATTAATGTAGCCTACTACTGCCTGAACTACTTTTCTTAGTACCTTGGAGCCCAGTAAGAAGGGGGAGAGGAAATTAGAGACTCAGAGGGCTCTGAAGAATGGCAAATCCTAGGAAACTGTCTTGCCAGCTCCCATAAAACTAAAGAACACCTTGATGTTGTTTAATTCTTCTTTCTGGCACTTTTCAAGTCAATATATAGTATATAATTTACCTAGTCAATATTATTCGTCCAGAAATAAGAATTTCTAGAACCTCCTGTTAGATTTCATGACATGGAGTAGGTAGGTGAAACAATGGGATATGAAAACATATCTGAATCACTATTTGAATATCCAGGTTTTAAAACCATTGGCCTGAAGGCAGCTTCACTGAGACTAAGGTATGAAAGTCACTGCTCCACTTACTTAGAACCATGTAATATAACTGTAGAGGTCATTTTTAGACTCATAAAAGGTTGACAGAATAAAGGATGGCTAGTATAATGGCTTATAAACTGCCCTGAGCACAAAAATTACTATTACTGGAGAACTCTTTTTAGGCTACCTTCTGTGACTACCACTTCTGCCTTGTGTCCCGGACTCAACAGACTTGCTTCTTATTTTCCCTTTCTGCACATCAGTTTTTCTAGCTACGGCATGAGGAAATTTAACTAGAATGGATAGCCTTTTTATTCTAGGTAGCATATATATTTTCTATGTTTGTTTTTAATATTTTCACTTTATTGGGAATTCTTCAATGTCTTTCCAACGCTTATAAGAAAACCATCTAGATTGGGATTGTATCTCAGTGGTAGGGCACTTGCCCAACTGCATAAAGTCCTGGGTTCAATTTCTAGCACTAGGCATACAAACAATATATCCTTAGAAAACTTTAAACTCAGTTCTGGTGATGGGTGACACTAAATCTGTTCTGTTCCAGTGTGTTATAATTTGAATATGAAATGTTCCCCCACATGCTCATGTGTTGAAGGCTTGGTCTCCAGCTGGTGGTGCTATTTTGAGAGGTAGTGGAAGCTTTAGGAGAAGGTGCCTCACTGGAGGAAGTAGGTCAATGGGAGATACCTTTGAAGGTTATATATTGACCCTGGCCCCTTCCTCCCATATCTTTCTCTTTCTCTGCTTCCTGGATAGTATGAAGTTGTTCATGATATTCTGCCTTTTTATAGGACAATATGGACAAAAACTTCTGAAACTAGGAGCCCAAACAAATATTTCCTTCTTTGTTTCTTAGATCCTTGTCAAAACAATGGAAAAAGTGATTAATATAAAGGTCTCATAGGCACAAACACCAACTTCAGTCTTAGACTAATCTGCCCAAGGGAGGAGGGGGCAGATTCCTCCTTTGCAAAATTCTACCTGGCCTGCCTCTCTCACAGACAACAAACCATAAAGGCAGATATAGTGCTGACCCTGTTATACAAAAGAAGAGTTCAGTGCTAACAGATTGGAGTTAAAATATGAAATCCATCTAGGGCTCTAGAACCACTAAAGCACATGGTCCATAATTTGCCTTTGGCACCTAGATTTTGAAATCAGCCCCCTTGTGATCCAGACAATAGAACCAAATGAAAGGAGTAGGCAGGCTCAATAAAAGTTAGGGGAAAAGCTAAGAGAAATTGGGCTAAGCACTTCTTTTTTCCTAGAGTGCTTATTGTAAAGAAACTAAGAGCTGAGTTGGCAAGTCTAAGGTCAGGAAGTTAGCAATTAAGGGCAGGCTAGAAACAGTATGGCACTCTAAGCTGTGTGAAAGAACAGGGATGGTTCACTGCAGGCTATGTACACTGTTATGAGGATTTTTCTTAGCATGTACCTCACTGGGAAGAGATTGAGGAGCATCATTTCTATTCAAAGAGTTAGCTTCCTTCTTCCCCGTTGGTTTAGTTTTCTTTTTATGGTGGCATAGAGATTTGAACTCAGAGTCTCATAAAGCATGTCCTCTATTATTTGAATTACACCTCCCACTATGCTTTTCTAAAAAACAAAAGTTAAAATATTTTCTTACTAGGACAAACAGAAGAGCTCAAAAGCTATGTACATATGACCATATAACCTGATGCTAAAGGAAATGAACCCTAAGATAGGGACACAAGAGAGTTTTATTTTTCTTATTCTTTTTAATGTACTTATAATGTACTATGTGATTTTTTGTTTCTTTGTATGTTCTTTCCCCAGGGTACAACCCCTGTTGCCATTATATTTGATTTCGGTGTCTTGAATCTTGTATATACATTTTTCTAATTTGGGGAGGGGAAGGGAAATAACAAAATGTTGAAATTAGGCTACAGGATGACCCATTGTAACAATGAGATGTAAAAACACTATGTTGAAAATGAACTTTACAACTTGTGAGGGTGGGGGCAAGAATTGGGGAAAGGGATGGTAGAGGAAAAATAAAGGAGGGGGTAACAATGCTCAATAGGAAATAGACTCATTACCTTGCTCATGTAACTGTAACCCCTCTGTACAGTATCTTTACAATAAAAAATATTTTTAATTTTTTAAAACATCAAGAAGATGCTCAAGTCCTCTGAGTCTTTGTACAGTTGGTGTGGGCACACAATAGTGGCAAGGCTAAAGACCAGGGAAGTAACCTTGCAGAAGGAGTCTAGGGGCAGTTGGATAGGATTTTACCCAGACATCTAAATTTTTCAAGAAGAGTTGAACACTTATTATATCAGAGTTAATTCTTATGAGGTTGAACTCAGGAATAAGAAACAAGCTACAAGGTCCAGTATCTGAAGGCAGGGGATAAGCTGTCTATACTGATCTACACCTTTACAAGCAACTCACAAAAAGCATTCCCTTACTTCATACACAACAGCCTTGTAAGGGAAGCAAGAATGCAACTTATTTTGTAGATAAACTAATAGAAGATCAGAAACAGTAAAAAGATATGAATTTTCAATAAATATCAATAAGTACTACTTCCTTTCAATCTCTTACCTGTGATCTTGGGCAGTATATTTAAGAAGCTCAGCCAACTGTAAGGGATATTTGCAGATCTTCTGCACTGGAGTCAAAAGGAAACCATCAATAGCAATGTCAATCATCTGCTGCAAGAGACGACAGGCCTCAAAGAAGTGCTGGTAGCGGCTGTCCTTCATCAGCTTGGAGAGTTCCATACAGGCGTCCAGGTGGTTGTTGCAATACTCAGAATATATCCAGAAACCGTCTTGCTGTAGAGAGAAGGCAAAGGCAAAGAGAAAGGTTACTGAAGATCCTAAAGGAAATTTCAAAGTAATAGAAACACAGGTCCTATTCTTATGCAGAAACATTAAATAATGTCAGTTATTTTTAAACTGATTTACAATTGTAAATTTATTGTAAAGTTCATATCAAAGAATGAATATGGAAGAACAACAAGGAAATTCTGGAAAAAGTGTAATGAGGAAAGACTGGCTCTAACAATAGTAAAACAGAGCATGACAAATAAAACTCTAGCTCTGGGCTATAAAAAGCGATGAATTAGAAATTTCACTTATACTGGGAATAGACTAATTTGCTTAATATTCGCTGCTATGGATTATAGCTAGAAAAGCTGAAAAAAATGTAATAAAATTTGTCTGAAGAAATTATCATCCAGAACCTTAGATGATCTTCATGAAATTGCCCTTTGGAAATATGTCTTAAAATTATTTAGATATAACATATGTACAAGAGGTATGTTGAAGAAAATATGTGTAAATATGACTGTGTATGTTTGTGAATATATATGCACAGAGAAAAAAGGAAGAGGAGATATTTAAGAGAGAAAGGAAGAGAATACCCACGTAATTTAAAAATGCTAGTAACAACTGAGTTCAGGTAAATGATATGCTTAATTTTAAAAATAACATATTTTGAACAACCTGTAATAATCATATTTTAAACTTTCTGTAAATTTAAAATTATTTTAAAACTGTTTTTTTAAGTTCCTACATTTTCTGTCTTTCTTTTCTTTTCTTTTTTTTTTGTTGGTCGTGGGGCTTAAACTCTGGGCTTAGCCGCTGTCCCTGAGCTCCTCAGCTCAATGCGAGTACTCAACCACTTGAGCCACAATGCCACTTTCAGTTTTCTAGTGGTTAATTAGAGATAAGAGTCTCACAGACTTTCCTGCCTGGGCTGGCTTTGAACTGTGATCCTCCTGACTAGCTAAGATTACAGGTGTGAGCCACCGGTGCCCAGCTACATTTTCTTATATATTGTTTAGGACTCAGTGAAAAATTAACCTGATGCATGAGAATATAAAACATGAGAAAAAATTATTGAACAATAAGTCAAGACAGTTATTATGGACTTTGTGTTTTTTTTCTGAGTGTCTATGTATCCCCAAGTGACCTTGAACTCATGATCCTTCTACCTCCAGAAGAAAAAAAATAACTCAGAAAAAAATTTAGGCAAATAAGGCAAGATAGAATTTTTTTTATCGGTTGTGGGGCTTGAACTCTGGGCCTGGGCACTGTCCCTCAGCTCTTCAGCTCAAGGCTAGTGCTCTACCACTTGAGCTATAGCGCCACTTCCGGTTTTCTGGTGGTTTATTGGACATAAGAGTTTCACAGACTTTCCTGCCTGGGCTTGCTTTGAACCACGATCCTCAGATCTCAGCCTTTTGAGTAGCTAGTATTACAGGCATGAGCCACTGGTGCCAGGCTTATAGAATTATTATTGGCTTTATCTTTTGGGTTCTATATTTTGGGTGTGTGTGTGGGAGGGGTCTCACTATGAATTCCAGGGTGGTTTCAAACCCATGATACTTCTGTCTCTGCCTCTCAAATGTTGGGATTATAGGTATATGCTAACATACAGCTAAACATAGGTTTTATAAAACAAGCAAAATAGTATAGAAAAAGAATGACATACCATAATTATGAGGGATTTATCCCAATTTATCATTAACTTAGATGAACTCATAAGAACACTCCAATCAATACAGAATAAGCATTTGAGAAAATATATTTTTGATAAAAGCCATCAGCAAACCACAAGGAGAAACTACCCCCAATGTAATAAAGATTACCCATGAAAAAATCTAAAGCTAATTTCATTCTCAAGGTCAAAATATTGAATGTTTTTTCCTAACATCAGGAACAAAATAAAGACCTGTTCATTAGTTCTAGTTAACACTGTTCTAAATACCATGATCAGTAAAATAAAGAAATAAAATAGATGGCATACAGATTGGCAAAATGATATAAAGCTATTTTTATCTGGAGATGATTAATCATAAGGATGCTACCAAAATATGTTGAATTCTGTAATGTGTCAGAATATAAATCAATATATAAAAAGCATTGTATTTTTGCATAGCAACAAACTGTAAAAAAAGAATTAAGTACCATTTACAGTAATAGCAAAAAGTATTAAATAGTTAGAAACCAATTTTGGGATGCAGGACATCAGCAAGATGGTTTAGGAGAAGATGCTAATCTTCCTTCTCTTCAACAAAGAACAACTCTGGCACCTATCCATGAACAAAAGTAACCTTGAAAGAGCTTAAGGGTCTACTAAAGAAAACATAGCAATATAGAAAAAGAAAAAAATGCCTGAGAATAATCACACAAAATGGGTAGGGAGAACAATTTCAGTTTTCCTGGGCTACCCCATCCCTGAAATATTGCTCAGCACAGAAAATGACTTTCCTGGTCACATGCCCATCCCTTACCAGGAAAAGGAAAGCAGGGCATACAACCAGGTTCCTCAGCTTTGGGGACAGTGCCAAAATGACTAACTTTAGTTTTACCACACCTAGATCTCTGGAGGATTGACATAGGTGTCTGGATATAGCAGGAAACAAGAGAGACAATGAACTCTATCACTACCAGCTAGGCAGTAGGAGTCACTGATTCCCAGTGACATGCTTGGCACAACAAGCTAACAGATCTCTCTGCCAGGACATCAGCATCCCTTATAGCAGCTGGGCATAATGCCCAGCTGTCACCACAAATGACCCCTAAATGTTCAAGGTGAAAGACCCCAGTGATTTGTTCTGCAAAAGACAGCTTTTACTGCTGAAAAAACTAACTGCTACCACAGCAGCAGTCCACTGAAGCTATGTCACTTAGGGTTCTCTAGAAGCTATGTCTTTTCCCTCTTCTTCTCCTTCTTTTCCTCTTTTTTTGCCATCACAGTTTCGAGGTACATGATATATGCCAACTTCTCCTCTTCTGCTCCTTGAAGCCTTCAGCTGCCTGGTACAAGAACCCATTTCTGTAATTTTCATATTTTCCAGGTCTCTGACTCATACTCTCTCTTTGTACTCTGTGTCTGGACTTGTCTGAGCTGTCCCTATCACATATCTACTCCTCTGTTTCAGAGACCTAGACTACTCATATTCTTTTATTTTGTTATTGTGAAAATACCGTACAGAGGGGTTACAATTACATGGGCAAGATAATGAGTACATTTCTCATCAAGCATTGTTGCCTCCTCCTTTGTTTCCCCTTCCCATCCCTTCCCATCTCCCTCGCCTCACCACCCCCCCTCACCACTCTCTCCACCCCCACCCCCCCGACCTGCACCAAAGATGTATATAGTTCATTTTCGACATAACATCTTATACATCTCATTGGTGCAATGGGTCCACCTGTATCTCTATGTAAACAATTTGTTTTATCCCTTCCCCTCCCCAAAGTATACCGACATCAAATACAGTGAAAGCAGGGGTTATACCATGGGGGAGGGACATACAAAGCAACAAAGAAATATCTTATAAATATGTCAGACACAATATCAAGAAAGAAAAAAAAATTGAGTCCTTAACTTGGGGTTCATTTCACTTAACATCAACTTATCTGATCATTTTTGCTTGTCTCAGACATATACTGGTTATTGCAAATAAGGGAAACCATAGGACCTATGTTTCTTTGGGCCTGGCTTACTTCACTTAATATAATTTTTTCCAAGTCTTTCCATTTCCTAACAAATG